ACTTTGTCATCTTTTACAAAAACTACTTGATTATTCTACAAAACGGATGAATCAAATTATTGATTAGAAAGAATTTCGGACAATTACTTAAAATATAATGAAGATTTATATTACGAATTCCAAAATGATTTTAAGTTGTCTAATTAATCAGATCCTCCTAAATTTCATAATCAAGAATATCTTTTTTAGAAATACATAGATTAGACAATCGTATTCGCTAATTTTTCTTCATGTTCTTGAAGCTTTCAATCAATGTATCTGACATATTTGATAAATTAATATCCCAACAATTTTTGTATATGATGCTATCGAAAATGAGAATTTTTTCCATTTTACTCCGGTAAAATATTTTATCCGAATATTTCCGGTATATTTCTGCAAAGTCTAAGTAAGCCGATATCTTCCATGGTTGAGGTTATATTCCGTGATATGCTATCTTTACGGGAAAATCAGGGAACATAAGAACACGGAACTTCTTTCTTATGAATTTGTAAATTCATTTTGGTCATTATTTAATAAATTAAATTTGAAAAAATGTTACAGAGGTACAAGATAAGATATTATATTAAGCTTTCCATAAATTAAATATTTTGTTTGATAATATTTTTTTGGTATTATAATAATTTATTAGGAATGTAATTAAAACCGGCAGATCAGCTTTTTCTGGAGTATTCACAAATTTGTAATAGTGATTTTGATAATTTTGCTTTGATTTAATTAGACCACTGAATGGTTAATAATAATATATGATATTCAATATTTACGACAATTCTCTATATTATTATAACTTAAATAATATACAAAGATGAGTCATTTCTCGTATTCCTCGGAACTTTGGAAAAACTATTGAGTTTTTTATAACTGAATATCGAAGATTATCAGTTCACAAGCCATTCAATTTACTCTTTATTTACCAAATTGATTATAAGATATATTTCTCGATTAACTGTTATCAAGATGTAGAGTGCTTTATGTTTGCAAATATAAAATGCCTCCCCTCTTCACTTGTTATGGCCATAAATATTATCATGTCTCAACATCAAAGCGCGCTCACCCGGCAACTCAGGGAACGGCTAGAAGGGGTAAAAAGGGAGGAAAAATTAGCGGTGGAATCGGCAAAGAAGCTCGCCAGTCAAGCAGCATATGAAGCAGCTAGTAGAGCAAGAGAAAATCAAGAGTTTAAACAACTTACTCCCAAATACAAACCATCGAAACCGCGAGATATAAAATACCGCTAATTATCGCTTACAGGCTCTCCCAATGTAAAGCTTAATCTGTAGGTGTTAATCATCTTTTTTCTCTTTTTTCTTTTTTGCTTATTTTAACGTTAAGTAATCTTTAGTAAATAAGTTGAATTTTTTTATTTACTCCTATTTTTCAGATTTAAATCCTATCGAATTCATTTTCGAATTTTTATAATTTGCAAATTTTTCAATAAAGTTTCGCCCACGTCGGGCTTCTGATTTTTTAACAGTGTATGTACAATGAATAATGAACTTTTATTAAGTATGCATCATGATGGATATAAATGGACCCATTCTGCGCTTTTGTTATTTTTTATTTATTTCACAACTCTTAAGCCAGTTTTTTTACCGCCTACGCGTGACTTTGATAAAGGGCTGCTAACAAATATTTGTAATCTGAATATCTGATTTATCATTTTATAATATCGCATTTCTAAATTCTAATCATTTATCTAAAGATTTGAAATTTAAATGATGATTAGAACTATATCATTTAAAAACATTATAACATAATTAGTCTGGGGATGTAATGCTTATATCGAGCAATTTGACAATTTGAACAGAATTTTTTTAAACCTCAAACTTCGTTGTAATATTGTAAAAAAAAAAATATTAATAATTATTAAATAATATATAACGGAAATATTTACGAGCAAAGCATCTTACAAACACATTCTTAAAAATAAGTTAAGCTAGTTTATTGTAAACTGGTTTTATGACTGGATTTGGAACTTAAACCGAACTGCTTGAGTAAAATAACATCCCTAGAATTGTGAAGCCGTGAGTGATAGCTTTCAGAATACCAAGGAAAATTTCGATCTGTATGTTAGTACACATTGACGTCCAATAATGTATACAAAATCGACATATAATTTTATTTTATTTTTCCTACTCCATTATGAAAAATTTTTTTTACAATGTCTTGCTTCGAATGTTTTTTACAGGAAATAACATACATGGTTCTCTGTATTAAATCTAAGTTATCAATACTAACACGTTATCCCAACAATAACTAACCAGAGAAGCACATAATGCAGAGAAAAAATTATTCTCATTTATATTATAAACGTTGTATAAAAAAGCTCAGCCGGCGTTGAAGCGTACCATATGGTCATTAGCAGACAGACTATGGTAATAATGTCTCTGCTTATCCATAATGAATAACCGGCTCAACTTAATACCCACATCAGTGGCACAGCTGAGCCACTGATTTATATGTACTACCAAATGTATCACCTGTTTAATTTATGAGTCGATTCTATTATTTTATTTTAAAGCATCTTATATATGATAGCGTCTTTTTTCCACGAACATTATTTGGTATCCAAGAAGAATTTTTCTTGTTTCTTGGTTTTATTTGTTCTATAAGATTTGGTAAACGGGTGTGGTGTGATTTTTTGTTTATTACAATCTAGAAACTATAACAAAAATTTTTTAATAATATATTAAATAATTACAAAAAATATAAATAAAATTTCCTTACTTCTTTCTTTCATTTGAAATTCTGCTTGCTTTTTTATTTCTATTCCATTGGCTGTATTTGGTAAAGTTTGTATTCTTTGTATAATAATTTTCTGGTTTTCTTCATGTAAATATTGATTGGTAGCAATTGAATTTGTACTATGTTATTAAAATGCTACTCTTTTTGAATCTAACAATAGATTCCATCCTCCAAGACTTCTAGCTGCTACATGAATATGTTTACACAAAAGAGATGACTGGTCTTGACAGTTACAATAAGATCCATCACATAAATTATACTTTGGATGAATTTAACAATACAATATCCATACATAGGTTCTATAATATCAAACATATTATTTTCTGCAATTTCAATATACTTTAAGTTCATGAGATTTGATTGCATTAAGTTTCTATTAAAAACAGAAATATATCTTAAATATATATTTATTTTTCAATTATATAAAAAATATGGATATTATAAAATAAACTAATACAAGATTTGCCATTATTTTAATTAAATGGAATTTCAGTTTTATCCAATATAATAAGTAAAAGGTTTATTTTATTTTTATTAATCATATGAACTTTTTACAATAAAAAGAGAGAAAACTGCTAAAAAAAATTTTTTAGTTGATGTTAATTCTAAATAAATTACAATATTTAAAGTATTTTTATTTTTATTTTTTTTTTACTGCAGCACATTTAATAGTTTATTAAGTAAAAAATATATTTACAATATGAACTGAATTGTATACAATTACAAAATGAATTATTACAAAATAAATCTCCATTGGGGTTATGGGATATTAGTTTAAAAGACTTACAAGTTAAACATTGTTTGTTAGCACTAAGGTTGCTTGTCTAAATCTCTTCAAAATCCTACGATTAGTTTCGTCAAAATTTTACTATAGATTTATTATAGTTTCGGCAGAGTTTCGGCAGTTTCGGCATTTATAATAAGTTTCTGCAGTTTCACCTTTCTCCAAAGTTTCGCCAGTTTTTTAATATAACTTTAATATAGTTTCGGCAGAATTTCGCTTTTCGGCTAAATGCCATCTTGCCTAAACCCCTAGGTTTCGGCAAGCAACCTTAGTTAGCACGTATTTTAGCATTATTATTGACAATATGTTATCTATAAGATCAAGTAGAATAAAATTGAATCAGATATATGGAAGTTCAATACCTTTAACAGATTTATTCACACATAAGGAATTATTTCAAAAAGAAATTAGTAAAGGTCTTAAAGGAAAAAACATATGTTTTGTTAATTAACTAATGTCTTCTGATGGAAAATGTCTTCTAAGATATAAAGATTTAAAATATAAGATTGAAATTAATATATAAGAGAGAATTCTGGGCTGGTTTAAATACATTGAAAACAAGCTTATTGAGAATCTGTTGATCACAAAAAAAGTAAAGAGTGAATATCAATTAGATTATAATTGGATTGATGATAATGCTAATAAGAGCGATTTGAAAACAAAAAACTGGATATTAACATTCTATGATCAAATGAATAAATATTTTATAGGTCGTATCATGAATAAACCAGGCAATGATAAAGTATTAGTTGAATATTGGATATAGGAAATGACGAATAATACAACATCCCCTTCAGTATAATTAGAATCCCGCTTACTTATAATAAAAATCACCATAGAAAATTGGCCCTTTACTAGTTTACTAATAGTTTTTACCTTACTTTTTTCTTAAATTCTATTGGTTAATTAGCTAAAAAAAAAAAAATCATAACAATGTAACATAAAATTTCCTTTTATAGTAGGATCTGCAAAGAATTTTATATATGATTTTTACCTTAGGTCTGGGGTGGCCTATCTTATAAGTAAACGGGGTCCTGTACAATTACCTATAATTACTAAGAAATGTAGAAGATATAATATTAAAACAGATCAAGTTAGAAATAAAAGAAATAATGCAAATTCACGTTATATTACTAATGTAGTCGTAACATCCCACGCTGTAGTATAATTATACTATAGCGTGGGATGTTACGACTTAGACTAGATTATAATATGGTACCATCATATGATCTGAGAGTCGCCATGGGGTTGAAGTACTGCCATATGATCTGAATGATATGGTCTGACTGCCGTCATATGATCTGGATGGTTTTACGCCTTTGCTTTCTGTTTTGCTTTCTTTCTACTTGTTTGCTTTTTTTTCGTAGGTTTGCTTACTCTATTATTTATCGCCATTTAATCTAACTACCATCCAGTGATTGCAGGGTGGTTATCGCTATTTGGTCTAAATACTACCCCGTGATGTACGGTGTTATCGCCATTTGGTCTGATTACCACTGCCTTCTGGTTGCGTTAGAGGCTTCTGGATGCTTTTCTCATTGCCTTCATTTTGCCTGCTCCTTTTGCTCTCTCGCTTATTTTCGGCCTTGTCTGGTTCCTTTGTGTGGGCTCGTGAGTAAGCTTGCTTGTGGATTTGTTTACTGCCTAATCGTGGTTGACCTGATTTAGGGCGCAGCTTGACAGTCAGGCGCCTGCTCCTTTTACTCTTCTACTGGCTGTGCGGCTTGTTTGGGCTCCTGTTTGTACCGCCACTCTGGTTGCTCTCCAGCTGGTTATCGGCCTTGTCTGGATTCTTGTCTGAGACCAGAAATCCCGTTTCCCAAGGATATGATCGGGTGATTTCAGCTGGAGGCTTCAGCCAAAATTTGGAAGAAATTGAAAAACCCCAACTTAGAATCGATTGGATTCTACTTAGATTCTCATGGTGTGGGTGAAACAAATCAACGAGAGTTTGATAAATTTGTCGCAGATTCCATTCATCCTGTGACATCACAACCTCTGACCTGTACAATTCGTCTTCACAGTAAAAAATTTCCTGTCGGGCACCTGAATATATACCTAAGAAAGTGTAAATTTCTTCCAATTTTTATAATAGATTATGAAAAAGACTTCACTTTTTCGTGTCGGAGTGCTGTCTGGTGGCCCTGTCCTAGTTGGATAAATTATTTGGCTAATTAGGACGGTTACTAGGACAGGCTTGATCTGGTTATTTCCTTGTTTTTTGTCTGTTTTTGTATACTTTTTCTTTACCTTGTCCTAGTTGTCCTAGTTATCCTAGTAAAATGAAAAATATAGAGTAAAAATACGATTTTTTTCCTGAGATACTATTGGTAGTACTCCGCATCCTAGCTGGCTGAGGTAAAAAAAGTAAAAAAAAGTAGGAGTTCTCAAAATTTACTAGGACAACTAAGACAACTAGGATAACTACTCAGGATTTTTTTCAAACACGCTAAAAAAGCTTTCTGGCTCATCCCAGCTTCGTTCTAGTTTCGTTTCAATTATCTGCAAATTAGAATGAACTTGAACTGGTAGCATCTTGCGTCTCGCATCTCACATCCTGCTATTTGCAGTCACAGTTTACATTCCACTGAAAAAAGAAAAAAAAAAGTAAGGGTTCTCAAAAATTTACTAGGACAACTAGGACAACTAGGACATATACTCAGGATCCTTTTCAAACATGCTAAAAAATCTTTTCTGCTTGTCCTAGTTTCGTCCCAATTTCGTCCCAGTTATCTGCAAACTAGGACAGACTTGAACTGGTAACATCCCACATTTCGCATTTCGCATCCCATATCTCGTTAAAAAAGTAGTGTCACCAGTGTTTCTAGTAAAAAATCCAACTGGTGACACTGGTGACACCTACTTAGAATGGCTTATTTCATGCTAAGAAGCTAAAGAAGATATGGAAAGATGTCACTAGTTCTGTCACCGGTTAGCTAGAGCTAGTGACAACCCCATTTTCACTTCAATAGTAGGAGTTATGTTGGTCATCTTCTTCTGATGATACTGTGCCATTTTCTGATACTTCTTAGCGTGAATATCACAAGTTCCATATTTTGAATAGGTTAACTTGCCGCATTCTTTGCATGGACTGCGTGGTGGTAAATTCCAATGTATCAGATATTCTTTTTCCTGATAGCAACTCCGATTGCATACTTCTTCACTTCTAAGAATATATGGACATCGATAAAATGCCATATCGTATTTTACGTTAAATTCTTTATCTTTATTTTTTTTTATTTAAACTTTTTTCTCTCAGTTTGTAATACTTTCTTCTCTCAGATTGTAAAGTTGCTTTTATAAAATCATGAACCACCAAAGTATTTCAGCTGCGTACTCATAACGTGATGAAAAAACTGGAAACCCCGTTAATATTGTTAACGATCGAGTGCCTTTTGATGAAACTGCTTACTTCAAAGGGAAAGTTATCCGCTACTCTGGTGAGGAATACTTATCTGGTATTCCCAATCGCGATGATTTAATTGCAGAGAATGATGATTCTGAAGGTTCAGGATTATCAGCAATCCTCAATAATGCTTTGGCCAAGCGAGAAGAGATCCCATTTATGGGGGTGTCTAAAGCCGTGTTTGATCACGTGATTTTCGACCCAGTAAATCGGAATCCGGATATGTTACGCAAGTTAAAAATAGTTTTACTTTTTTAAAAATTGTGTTACAAAAGTAAAACTTTAAAATAGTGTTCCAAAGAAAAAGTTTTTTTTTTAAAAATAGCGAACGGTATCATTTTTAATTCATAACAATAAACATAAACGCGTTCTTTTACAACTTTTACAATGTAGTAAATAAATTTTTACTTTGATTTTTTTCTTCTCTTTTCTTTTTCTTTTCTTTAATTTTTTGAAGGTTATTAAAAATTTTTTTTTTTTTTAAAAAAAAAACCTAATAAAATAAACCGAAGTTTTTTATTAAACACTTTAAAATACTTTATAAATGACTCCGTTTGCTTCTAATATAATAAACACACCTATATCCGAAAAACAAAAACGTATCCTTCTCTTCAACGTTAACCAACCACTTGAACTTTTGATAGAGGAGTTCGATAAAGAATGGTGGCCTCTTGTATCAAATATATGGACCAGCTTTAGCTGTAAAAATAATGTTAATGGTGACTTGTGGAAAGTTTTTGTTTGTCGGTTTAAAAAACATAATAAGTCAAGTACCCGGAAAGAAGACATTCCAAATGAGAAATGTCACATAACGAAAATTCGACCTGCTGACTTATGTTCCGCAAAAATTAAAGTTCAACGCTATTTTTCTGAACAGAAAGTACGAATTGAACGATTTAAAGATTCACCTGATCATTCACACCCAATTGAAGATAGTAAAAAACTAAAACGCTCAGAAGTTGTTCGTGAATTAGTTATGCAAGAAGCCGTAAAAAACTATCGACCACCAGAGATCGTTAGCGCAGTTAAGGAGATTGCAACTGAAACACTGGATTTAGGTGAATGTGTTAAGGAGTTGAGACNCCAATAGCTATATAAAAATTCCAAACCTCTTTTGTTTTCGACCTGGCTTAACATTTAGCTTTTTTAGTATAAGAGGTATTGGATTTTCAATTTCACTCATTTATAGCTATTTTATTCTCTTAAAAAAAAGTGGTAGAACAAAGAAAACTTCAAAGTAGAACAAAGAACGTCAAACACGTCAAACAAATATGCAAAATTTTGATGTACAATTTGTATAACGTGATACTATGAGTCTATGATGTAATTGGCATAAATCATTTTGACAATTCGGCAATTTTGGTAATTACGTCTGTATAAATTCAATATGGCTGTAAAAAATAAATGCGGCATTACGTCAAAAAAAAATGGTTATGCCGAAATTATTACGGCAGATTTTTACAGACGTAATGCCGAAACCGTAATTAATTCGCGGAGAAGTATAGTTATTACATATTAAAATTTCAAGCATTGTTATTATATGCAATTTTGAGAAATTAATATAATAGGATTCCGCCTACTTTTGTCTAAGTAGTGTACACATAAAGGAAATCCACAAGAATCACCTAAAAAAAGACTTACAAAAAAGAAGATAAATGTTTAGTTAAAACATTTCTTAAAGAAAAAAGAAAAAAATGGAAATTTCGTGATAAAATGTACGAAACTTAACATTTTCTGAATTACTAAATTCCCAGAAATGGATCCTATAAAAAAGAAAGAAAACATTAGTAAACATTTCCTAATAAAAAAAAAATTTTTCTAAATAAATATAAGTTTCATAATAAAACTTATTTTACAAAATAAATATCCCAGAACTTACAAAAGAAAAGGAAGCATTAGCAAACATTTCCAATAAAAAAAAATTAAAAAATAAATTCAAGTTTTGTAACACTATGAAACTTACCATTTCAAACTTCTAATAAAAAAATTAATAAAAAATTAATTTAAAAGTTTTGAAGCAAAACTCTTTGAAACTTACTATTTCTAAAACCCTGCCAAAAGTCCTACAAAAAAAATATAGGAAATGTTAATGTTTTCTAAAAAAAAAAATTTTAATATAAAGTTTTAAAGCAAAAGCTTTGAAGTTTACATGACCCCAGACATTATATATATAACTCATAACTGATCTGCATGAATTTAAGTACTTTTTTCTTCTGCTAAAATAGACTTAATTTGCTAAAAATCAAATTATCACATTTTAAATCTATACTAATTTGCTAAAACTCAAAATATGAGTTATAGGCTTAAATTTGCTTAATAAAATATAATTTCAGTTTATTCAAATTATTTGTAGATCGGTAAATTTAATTGTCAATTTACCGAAATTAACAATCTTTTTTTTTATTATTAGGGGCGTACCAGAAATCACGTGATTATGCTCAATTAGAGACCTGACCCCCCTACCCACCATGTGATTGAATTCTGATTGGCTAAAAAAATCCATACAATATAACATATAATATATTATATTAATATATATCTGATATATTATAATACAATTGGTTTGCTATTTAATAATCCAATTTGCATAAACTTTTTTTTGTTTTGTAGCCCCATTTATGCTTTATAAAATAAATAAAAAATTTATCGAAATTGGATTGCTAGATGGTGAAATAATTGCAAAAAAGCTTGTTAATAAATAAATTACCACATATTATATGTATATTATAATACAATTATTTTACTATCCAATAATCCAATTTGTATAAACTTTTTTTTTATTTTGTAGACCTTTTTATGCTTTACAAAACAAAAAAAAATTCATTAAAATTGGACTTTTAGATGGTGAGATAATTGCAAAAAAAGCTTCTTAATAAACAAATTATATATTATTTACTATAAAAGATATACTATTACCATAAAAGGGGGTGTCTAAAGCCGTGTTCGATCACGTGATTTTCGACCCAGTAAATTGGAATCCGGATATGTTACGCAAGTTAAAAATAGGTTTACTTTTTTAAAAATTGTGTTACAAAAGTAAAACTTTAAAATAGTGTTCCAAAGAAAAAGTTTTTTTTTTAAAAATAGCGAACGGTATCGTTTTTAATTCATAACAATAAACATAAATGCGTTCTTTTACAACTTTTACAATGTAGTAAATAAATTTTTACTTTGATTTTTTTCTTTTCTTTTCTTTTTCTTTTCTTTAATTTTTTGAAGGTTATTAAAAATTTTTTTTTTTTTAAAACTTCTGCGCCTCGTAATTTCGTTAAGAAGATTTTTTTATTTTTTCTCGTTCTTTCTCGCGATTTTTTGAAGGTTATTAAAAATTTTTTTTTTTTTTAAAAAAAAACCTAATAAAATAAACCGAAGTTTTTTATTAAACACTTTAAAATACTTTATAAATGACTCCGTTTGCTTCTAATATAATAAACACACCTATATCCAAAAAACAAAACGTATCCTTCTCTTCAATGTTAACCAACCACTTGAACTTTCGATAGAGGAGTTCGATAAAGAATGGTGGCCTCTTGTATCAAATATATAGACCAGCTTTAGCTGTAAAAATAATGTTAATGGTGACTCGTGGAAAGTTTTTGTTTGTCGGTTTAAAAAACATAATAAGTCAAGTACCCGGAAAGAAGGCATTCCAAATGAGAAATGTCACGTAACGAAAATTCGACCTGCTGACTTATGTTCCACAAAAATTAAAGTTCAACGCTATTTTTCTGAACAGAAAGTACGAATTGAATGATTTAAAGATTCACCTGATCATTCACACCCAATTGAAGATAGTGAAAAACTAAAACGCTCAGAAGTTGTTCGTGAATTAGTTGTGCAAGAAGCCGTAAAGAACTATCGACCACCAGAGATCATTAGCGCAGTTAAGGAGATTGCAACTGAAACACTGGATTTAGGTGAATGTGTTAAGGAGTTGAGACGGAAGGAAGTTACGAATATAAAGTATAAGGTACGTGGACCTCTTGACACACATCTTGTTGGTGATCCCAAGAGAGAATTAGATATTCGAGAGGCCATTTCTTTCTTGAAAAATCGAGGATACTTGGTTGAACGTTATGAAATTCCTGACCTGTCCACTTACGGGTTCGTTTTTATGCATCCAAATCANGGCTATGCCGAATGTCACCTGATATACAGACGATCGTCAATTATTAGCCGAAATTTAGCCGAAATAAGGACGATTTGCCTTATTTCCGATTTGCCTTATTTCGACTAGTGCAACCACTTGAACTTTCGATAGAGGAGTTCGATAAAGAATGGTGACCTCTTGTATCAAATATATGGACCAGCTTTAGCTGTAAAAATAATGTTAATGGTGACTCGTGGAAAGTTTTTGTTTGTCAGTTTAAAAAACATAATAAGTCAAGTACCCAGAAAGAAGGCATTCCAAATGAGAAACGTCGCATAACGAAAATTCGACCTGCTGACTTATGTTCTGCAAAAATTAAAGTTCAACGCTATTTTTCTGAACAGAAAGTACGAATTGAATGATTTAAAGATTCACCTGATCATTCACACCCAATTGAAGATAGTGAAAAACTAAAACGCTCAGAAGTTGTTCGTGAATTAGTTATGCAAGAAGCCGTAAAGAACTATCGACCACCAGAGATCGTTAGCGCAGTTAAGGAGATTGCAACTGAAACACTGGATTTAGGTGAATGTGTTAAGGAGTTGAGACAGAAGGAAGTTACGAATATAAAGTATAAGGTACGTGGACCTCTTGACACACATCTTGTTGGTGATCCCAAGAGAGAATTAGATATTCGAGAGGCCATTTCTTTCTTGAAAAATCGAGGATACTTGGTTGAACGTTATGAAATTCCTGACCTGTCCACTTACGGGTTCGTTTTTATGCATCCAAATCACCTTGAGCAACATGGCTGGCTATCTCTTATAGACTCAACACACAAGACAAATAGATACGATTGTCGCTTGTTCACCTTATATATTCGCAATTCTTATGGATGTTGGGACGTTGGGGCCCACTTTTTTGTAAGTAAAGAAATTTTCTCTTTGACCAAAGTAATATAGAGTCTAATGCTATCAAAATGGCTTTTCCGGGTCTTAAGAATGGTGAACAAAAGTGTGATTTTTTCTTTTGCACGGTGCATGTCATGCGTACCTGGATGAGCAAAATTTACGAGAAAAAGACACGACAAAAAATGCTTCATGCCATGCACAAAAGAACTAGGATCGGGTGTGAAAGCCTTATTTAAGAAGCAATCAATGAATGTGCAAATCTGACGATCAAGAAATATATTTTAAGAAATTACGCAAAAAATACGCACCAATGGGCACTTTGGGCGAGGCAGCACTCTCCCCTACTTTTGCAGGTAACTTCAACGAATGCCTTAGAGTCATATCATAGTGAATTAAAGATGACAACCTCACCAAAACACGGGTTAATCGGTAATTGTCTTTGCATCTTTAACAAATATTTTCGATTCTAATCAAAACTTTGTTCAGGTGCATGCAATAATATAGTTGTGCTTGATGACAAAAAACAGACCGATTCAGAATGTGTCGCCTATGAATTTCGCACCAAAAAATCTCTTTCATTGGTGTTGATGACGAGATTCTCACTGAAATCCATAAATTCCCCTTTCCTGTTCAACAAATGATTATTAAAGAATATTGCGCTATCGATGGACGATTAGAAAAAGGAAAAACAGCACCGGGACTTACATCTTTAAACTGCTATTGTGTATTTTTTTATCGGTACTTGCTGCCTTGCCGCCACATTTTTCATGAAAGTTTGTATGGAGATGCGAAGCTATTGACACCCAATACATAAGATCAATTTCAGCGAATGTTTGATGAGACTGGATTTGATGTATATATGCATCGTGAAATAGATTTGAATGTGCCAGTGTCAAGATTAACCGAGGCTGAGAATGCAATAGTAAATAGACGACAATCCGTAAGTGAGTTAATGGAAAGAATATGTGATACATATTGGAGAGTCAAAGAAAGAGGTAACGCAGAACAAACCGGCGTGTTTATTGAAGAATTGAAAGGTTGTTTAGAACCTATTTTAAACAATAAATAAGGGTGTCTAGGTTCAACTTTATTTCAAATAAATATATTTTATTATTTTAATAATAATATCGAAAAAATTTTTATTGCTTGTTTATTATTTATGATACAAAAATATTATAAAACAATATATATATTAATTAAAAGATTACATTAAATAAATGTTTTTTATCAAAGAATATTTGTTAAAATTAAAAAAACTTCGTTAAAAAAAATTTTTCAAAAAAAAAATTCAAAAAAAAACTTTTTCTTTGGAACACTATTTTAAAGTTTTACTTTTGTAACACAATTTTTAAAAAAGTAAAACTATTTTTAACTTGCATAACATATCCGGATTCCGATTTACTGGGTCGAAAATCACGTAAGGGGATGGCCAGAAATGACGTAATTTAAATTTTAAGATTTTTGGCCCCCCCCTCCCCATGTCATCATTTATTTTAGGAAATGTAAAATTAAAACATAATTCTGGCTAGAATTATATTAACTACAAGTGTCTAAAAATGGAAGATGTGTAATATCATCATGGTCTTAACCCCTCCCCCCTTAGGAAATGACGTCATTTCTGGCAGTCCCCTAATCGAACACGGCTTTAAACACCCCCCATTTATGGCAGTCAATATAGAAGAGTCCACCGAATTCAAAAACGGTCAGGCCTGGTATGTTTTACGCCTCTATGGCCCTCTCATCAATGGCCAGAAGGCAGTTATAATGATAACAGAAATTCAAGTCTTCTTTGATATTTTCGTACCAGAAGACTTATCTCCTGATTCGTTCAAAACAAAAATAAGGGCTATCCTTTCAGGCGTAATAAAATGGTTCAAAATAGAGCATGTGAAGGTATACTTATTCCGTAGATATAATCCTGAAAAAAGTCATATTTTCGTATTTACACAACCAATACTAAGCAAAGAAAAATCGCAATGAAAGTAATCTAAGGAAAAAATATATCACAACCTCAGATGACCAATCCACATACTACCGCAAGGTAGCCTGTGAGTATAGAATTTAATTTTCGGGTTGGTCAATGTTAAGAGAATATAAGTATTTATCAGGAATGCGAGCAAGTTCTCTTTGTGCGCATGCTTTTTACATATCAATAGAAAATTTTCACCCTATCGAAGACATAGCCACATTGAAAGACTACTTTCTGATCTCAGCACTAACGAGAGATCGTACACTTGTTCTCACGTGGGACATAGAAACCTATAATTCACGTGGAATGGGGGAATTCCCTCTTACTGAATATGACGAAAATTGTGTTTTTACAATTTGCATGACTCTTCATTGGAAGGATGAACCAAAAACTTTGAAGCAGATTTGTTTAGTCGATGTAGAATCAGCACCAGATCTACAGTGGATAATGATCATATGCGGATCACAAATTAATTTGCTAAAAGCCTTTGCATTATGTTGGGAAGCATTTGCTCCAGACATACAATTTGGATTTAATGGTTTGCAATACGATTGGCCTTTCATCATGGAAAAGGCGAAAAGCATGCATCTCGTTGAATGGATGTGGAAACGTATGAGCGGACGTCAAGACAGGAGGGAAACTTCTGCAATGGAATTATTATGGGAGATTAGACAAGGCAGATATAAAGTAGTATGAAAACCCCAATTCTGGCTCAGCCCCACCATATAATCTAATTACTACCACTTTATATAATCTAGTTACCACCATCATATAATATAATTACCACCATATAATCCACCTACCACTTTTCATATAAT